GGCCCGCTGCCTGCCCCACGGGCCACTCAGGGCGCTCCTGGCCCGGGCTGCTAATTCGAGACAACCCCGGCTCCGGCTCGGTCTACGGCTCCGTGTCCAGCTCCGACTCCAGCCGGGAAACAAAAGAGCCGGGGCCACAGGGCCCGGAGCCTGAGACGCCAGCGCAGGCGCAGTGCGCGCGGGGGGGGGTACGCGGGGATGAACGGGGGGCGGGGCCCGGCGTGGACTGGGCTGCTTGGGGCGGAGCGGGGCTGCTCCGTGCGGCGCGAGCCTGGAGGACAGAGGAGCTTAGTGGATGGTGAGGCTGGCGGTGGCGGGGCCCTGAGTGGGCGTGGCCTAGAGAGCGGACGCGCTGAGTGGGTGGTGGGACTGCTGGGGCGGGGCCGGGAGCGAGCCCGCCTCCTCGCCGGCGGAAGGGTAGACCAGGTATCCTGGGCGAGGGTGGCCAGTCTGTGAATCCCAGAGGTGCATATTTTCTTGTCTTGCTAAGGCTGCCATTAATATCTGAATGTGGCATGTGTATCCCAGGTCTAGGGACTCTATAGAAGAAATTGTTAGAGATGAGCTGCGTTAGACGTTACACACTGAAAATGCCTTCCTTAGTAACAAATTGTCCACCACACTGCACCAAAACCTAGGAAATAGCCCACAAGTCCATCAGAGAGGAAAGGTTAGATAAATTATGGTGCATCCTTTCTATGGAATAATGCACAGCAAATTCTCAGACACAGGGTTAAATATATGTAAGCAGCTCCAATGTAATTAAGTGAAAGCAAAATGCAGAACAGGGAACTGAGGTAATATTTGTCATTTTAAAAAGTCACTAGAGGGAGGTGTGTATATACAATAACTACATGTGTACACAGTTATATGTATGTATATTCATGTGTGTAGTACACAGTAGTATACTGAGTAAGTATAGTATGCAATATAATTATAACAGCTAACCCACTGTTTACCACACGCCAGGCCGTGGTCTTTCCACATATTAACTCATTTATTACTCACAATGGTTCCATGAGATACTTGCTATTATATCCTCATTTTGGAGGTGAGAAAATTGAGGTGCGGAGAGGTTAGGTAATGTGCCCAAAGTCACACAGTCAGCAAAAGGAGAAAGAGTCAGGATTCTCACATGAGAAAGTGTTAACAGTGGTTGCCTTGGTAAGGGTCAGTCCTTTCATAGTACATGTTGAGAACTAGTGTTGTTAGAGTAAGTAGATAACCAGACATGAGCAAGGAGGGGATTGGGGACTTTGGCCAGGGTTTATATCTGGCTAGATGCTTGTTTATATTCTTAACATTATGTATAAACTGTTCTCCTGGGATGTGGGGAGTGAGGTTATAGATGACAGACCTGCTAAGACTAACTGGTTCCAACAAGGAGAAATTGATCCTGACTTCACCTCAAAGTACATTATATGCTTATCAGCATACTAAAAACTACCCCCTTTAGCACCATGACAATTCCAAGGAAGACCATCTAAGGATAAAAGAGGGTGTCACCCTATTTCCCAGAAATCCCCTCCCTATTCCGCAAAAAACCTCATCTATCCTGATGAATATTCCACCCCCTGCTTAAACTCAAGCTATAAGACTACCCAACTGGAACCCCACCATGCTGCTCACCTCTGGAGCATGCCCGCTCTCCCTCCATGAGTGTGTACTTTAACTTTATTAAACTACTTTTTACTTGTACCTGCTCCACCTGCTTGTGAAGTCTTTCTAGATCAAAGTCAAGAACACTCTCCTAGGCGTCACCTAGCACACAGGGAAATCCCCCTGAATTGGATTGCCCAACTACAGAGTGTATTGTCCTTATCATATTCAAGTATTGCTTTTGCAAATGCAGAATTCTAAATAAACAGTGCTCTTCACTGCCTTCAGTGAAAGCCCGGATGGTTGCCCAGCCTGTGGAAACGTGGTTCCAGTCCAACAGGTAGGCTCTCCAGCTAGGGCCCTCCACGCTGCCTTCATGGAGCTGCCCAGCTTCTATCTGCCTGCTGCTCTGGGAGGAGCCTTCGCAGGGTCTCCTGGAGGCCCTTCACCTGCACCCAGTCCCTCCTCCAGGACATGCTGCTCCCTACCGTACACTGGGGCTAGAGGCCATTAAGCTTGAAGGGACAAGGGGTCTCCTGGCCCACCAACCTTGTTTTCCAAGGAAGAGGTCTCCCAGTGTCATATGGTCAGCCACAGCATCCCTTGAGACCTGGTGCATTCCCTCACTTACCTACAACACCCAGGCATCTGGAGTTGTCACAGGACAAAAAGAGAAAAAGAGAGTCCTTCCCTCAGAAGCCTCTGGTTCCATGGTAGGGGATCAGGGAGGGGGGACAAGATGGGAAACAATGGAACAAATTGTCATAAAATTGCTCCTAAGAAAGAGTGGAAAACAGGCAGGACACGGGGAGAGGTGGGTTGCTGGAGGGAGCCTAATTCCCCTGGAGTTCCCTACAGGGTTCAGCCCACCCTGGGAAGGGCTTCTCTTTAAACTCATGGAATCACCAGCAGAAATTAAGAGGGATGATGGAGAGAGAATTTGCATTTGGAAAAGGTTTCTGGGCCATGAGGGAGGAATTGCTGGGAGGCTGAGCCCAATTTCCCCACCCAGGCCCATTTGGTCATCACACAGGCCTTGCCCCACTCTGCTTAAGCTGCAGTAGACCTCGGTATTCACATTAATATTTACTCACTAGATTTTTTTTAAACCCCCAAATCAGTACTCACAGGGTTTCTTGGGCAAAAAACTCGAGTCTCCTGAGGCATACATTCCCAGCTGAAGGTGAGCCAAGGGACCCTTTGCCTTCTTTCAGCTGCCCTACTATAAACGAAGAACTTGTGGGGTATTTAGTGCCATATTTTTTGCCATTTTGTGCTTTTTGCTGGTGATTTCACTGATTAAAAAAGCCCTCAAGGGTAGTGCTGAAGCTACTGCAGTGTTCCTGAGCACAGGAAGGCTGCCATTTGCCAACTAAGAAAATGCACATGTTGGTTGAGTTTTATTCAGGCATGATTATAGTGCTGTTGGCTGTGAGTTCAATGTTAATGAACCAACAACATACAGTAAATGAGGTGTCTTTAAACACAAGCACACATAAAACACAGGTAAGTATTGGACAGTTGTAATGGCCAAAAGGTGTCAGGAACCAGACCCATATTTCCCTGGAGCAGAGGGTTCCTATCCACTAA